ACAGCTAAGGAAAGAATTCTCCCCACCCTGCCATTCTCTTGCTCAACCAGACGTAGATCATGCCTTTCCTACCCTGCAGACTTCCCCCCAGCTACTGAACTGAAAAGGTGGCTGCGCTTCACCTTTCCTCTCACCCCACCACTTGCCCACTCGATCCTGTCCCGTCTCACCTCATCAGATCTATCTCCCCTTGTCTTGTGCCTTCCTTAATTGACCACTATAGTGCCAGGAAAACAAACTCTTTTCCTGGCACTATAGTGCCCTGAGGGTGCCCCCACCCTCAGGGTCCCACTCCCGTGGCGCTGAAGGGGGAGGAAGGGGCTAATCCCTTACCTTTTTTCCAGCGTCGGGCTCCCTCGGCGCTGGGACTCTCCTCCCTCTTCTTCCGTCATTCTCTGAAACTGCTATGTTTACAGCAGGCAGGGTTAATCCTAGATGGACCTGGCACCCAGACCACTTCATTGAGCTGAAGTGGTGTGGGTGCCTATAGTGGTCCTTTAACACACATCTTCAACTGCTCTCTCTCTTCTGGCATTTTACCTGCTGACCTTAAACATGCCACTGTAGTACCTATCCTGAAACAACCATCTCTTGACTCGTTCTTCCCTTCTAACTATTGTCCCATATCCCTGCTCTCTTTTTCCTCAAAGCTTCTGGAAAGACTTGCCTTTACCCGTGTGTCTCGCTTCCTCAATTCCAACTGTCTCCTTGACCCTCTTCAGTCTGGCTTCCGCCCTCTCCACTCTACTGAGACTGCTCTTATCAAAGTTACTAATGACCTAATCGCAGTTAAATCCAAAGGCCACTACTCCATACTTATTCTTCTTGACCTCTCTGCTGCCTTTGATACAGTTGATCATGCTCTCCTTCTTCAAACCCTTTAATCACTCGGTCTCTGTGACTCTGTCCTCTCGTGGTTTTCCTCTCATCTCTCCCAACGCTCATTCAGTGTCTCCTTTTCCAAGGATACCTCCTCCCCTCGTCCTGTCTTGGTTGGAGACCCCCAAGGCTCTGGTCTCCTTCTATTTTCTCTTTATACTGCCTCTCTTAGCAAACTTATTACCTCTTTTGGATTCCACTACCACTTGTGCGCTAATGACACCCAGATATATCTCTCCTCCCCGGACCTCTCCCCGGCCGTTCTGCAACGTGTCACTACTTGCCTTTTTTCCATCTCTGACTGGATGTCCTCCCGCTTTCTGAAACTCAATCTCTCTAAAACTGAACTCCTTGTCTTTCCTCCTCCTATGGCCTCCTAGAGAAACAGCTTATGGCCTCCTAGAGAAACAGCTACCTTACATACCTGTCTCTTGCTCTCTCCTAAAGGGCAGCACATTACTCTCTCCTCCAGCTCTGCTTCACTCCCACCTTATTTGATTGCTATTTCCTGTCCTAATGTGTTTTATACCCCACCTCCTATAGACTGTAAGCTCGTTTGAGCAGGGTCCTCTCCAACCTATCGTTCCTGTAAGTTTTCTTGTAATAGTCCTATTTATAGTTAAATATCTCATAATATTGTAAAGCGCTACGGAATCTGTTGGCGCTATATAAATGGCAATAATAATAATAAGTATTATTATTATTTATATAGTACCAATGTACTGGTATTTCACAGTGCTTTACAATAAAAGAAAGAGGTGAGGACCTGCTCAAACGAGCTTACAATCTACGTTAGACGGATATATATCATTAGGTTCCATGCCTACGGAGACTTACTGATAAGGTGGTCTGATCAGGATAAAATGAGTTATTAAGTAATATATTCATTATTCAAAGCAATGCACAACAAGCGAGTATATAATGCACAATATTTTATTTTCAAGAGTAATACAAAATGAATATGCTTTCCTTTAAGCCTTGCGGCTAGAAAGCATCATGTGAGGCTCAGTCTAAAACATCTGCGGAACTACCTTTGCACACCCCTGTCTTATACATTATGGATTTTACAAACTGTTTTCCATAAAGCAAAAATGTTATGCTTCAAGATACTTAGATGGTACCAGATGCTTATAAATCTCTTTTTATGTATTGTTTTCAAGAGATACTCCAGTCATTGAAAGTGCAAAACCCCCCAAAACTATTTTGTTTTATATGATGCCAAAAGCCTTTAATTCATGTAAACATGCATAGAAAGTTGAGGAGCAGGATTGGCTGGCAGATCACAGCCACTACCTGAATGATGTTAAAGAAAATGGAGGAATATCAGAGACAAGGTCTATAGTGACAATGAGTGGCATATGACATATTTTATTTTGTTCTTTGAATATTTGATTTCTAAAACTGTAACTGTTTTCAAACTACCAATAAATAAATTGTAAATCCATCTCTGAGTGTCCATTTATGAATGAATTTTCGAGCCAAAAATGTCTCATAAAAACTTTCACTCCAAGCTGGGGAAGTGAATTATATGCGTTTGTCTTGTATGTCTGAACATATATGATGAGTTACATTGATGAAGGATTATCCCTAAACAGGCAATATTCTTTCATTGCAATAGGACAGAATCTCCATGAATTTATTGGATCTTGACATACAAGTGTAGGTTTTTAGGATGAAGAGCAAGAAACTGATATTTTCTGTTGCAAATGAGAGGAATTTGATATTTTTTGTGAGTTCTTAAAATCACCTACCTCGGCTAACAAATAGGGGGTTCATTTCCACTATATAGCCACATTGTGCAAAGCCCACCACTTTGCCAAAGTACCCCAATACCGGTGGGTCCTACACTGATTTTAACATGTGAGACAAGTTAAATAGCGATAGTGCTAAATTAACTAAAGTGTATTTTAATAATCGCTTGTAAGGGTATTGTGAATACATGTCATGACAAATTAATATGGTAAAAAAATAGTGTCATAACTAAATAATCGAAGTGGTCTTTTTTCCTCTCCAGAAACTTCAAGGAAAATCATTCTATTTAATAAACTCCACGACTAAGAAATTGCATCTAATTGATCGTAATCATAACCAATATCCATGTCATCTTTGTTGCAGTCTTGTGGATGACAGGTCGCATTTACAGATTTTTTATTTTCTTTTATTTACCCCCCTTTAACAAATGTCACATCTGTCTGTTTTTGTGGGAGTTACATACCATTCCCAAAACAGGGCACACCTCTGTAAATCAATGTCATGCTGGAATCACTGCCACAGCATTGGCATTAAGTTTGCCAATTCATTTCTATATCTCTTGGCAAAACTCAAGATACATTTACCAGGGAAAAATCACAGCAACTACCATACATTCCCAGGTAGACACTGTAGTTGCTTTGGAGGTAAGCAGGAGAACACGTTGTAGAGGGTACTCTGCCTCACCTCCTAAAATAGACTGTCTGCTGCTCAAATACAAAACAAAATGATTATTTAGTAGATATACCTTCAATGAAAATATGCATGCATTTAATTGTGTATTTATTTCATTGGGGATATCTCTAAAAATGGCTTGCAAAAGTTGCAGACATTTAATCTTCAACCTTTGACAACACTTTGCTTCCTGTGACTGTCCAATCACAGACATTCCAAAATGCAGCTCATTGAGAAGCATGGGCGTCCGCAGGGGGGGTATGGGGGGGCACTTGCCCCCCCATGGATTTTTCAGCCTGTTCTGCTATTTTGTGTGAGATTTAAAATGAACTGCAATACCGGCGTATAGAGAGAGACAGGGATAGGAAGCTGCATCTTATCCCTGCTTCTCTCTGCTGATTGAAACCGCAGGGGAACAACACATGCAGCCAGAGAGAGCCTACAGATCAGGTAAGTGAGGCATGGGGGGAGGGTTTGAGAGGGGGGCAGCAGCCTATAGATTTGGGGGGGGCAGCAGCCCATAGATTTGGGGGAGCAGCAGCCTTTAGATTTGAGGCAGCAGCCCATGGGATTTGGGAGGGGCAGCAGCCTTAGATTTGGGGCAGCAGCCCCAGTTTGGGGCAGCAGCCCATAGATTTGGGGAGGGGCAGCAGCCTATAGATTTGGGGGCCTGGCCCATGATTTGGGGGCAGCAGCCTTTGTTAGGGCAGCAGCCCATAGATTTGGGAGGGCAGCAGCCTAGATTTGGGGCAGCAGCCCACGAGGGGGCAGCAGCCTTTAGATTTGGGGGCAGCAGCCCATAGATTGGGGGAGGGGGGCAGCAGCCCATAGATTTTGGGGGGGGGGGCAGCAGCCTATAGATTTGGGGGGCAGCAGCCTATAGATATATAGAAATGAACAGGAAGGGTCAGCAAGGAGCTGGAAGATAAAGCAGCACAAAGGTAAAGTAGAAGGAGCAGAAAGGGTCAGAAATGAGCTGGAAGGGGCAGAAGGAGCACAAACATAAAGTAGGAGAATGAGCAGGAAGGGCCTGCAAGGAGCAGGAAGGAGCACAAAGGGACAGCAAGGAGCACAAAGGTAAAGGAGCAGAAAGAATCAGAAGGAGCACAAAGGTAAAGTAGGAGAAAGAGCAGAAAGGGACAGCAAGGAGCACAAAGGTAAAGTAGAAAAGGGAGCAGAAAAGGGATCAGAATGAGAAAGGAGCAGAAGGGCGCAAAATAAGCAGAAAGTAGCAGAAAGGTAAAAGAGCAGTAGGGGCCAAGGATAGAAAACAGTGTCAGAAGAAAAAAAAAAGACTGTCAAATGAAGGAGAGGAAAAGGAGATTGGAGCAGGAAGGACAAATGAAGTGAACCCTCCACTTTATTCTGGACACCACATCATAAGGCTTTGGTACCTGGGCCTGGCAGGGAAACGCTGGACCTTCTCATCTCCAAAGGTAAAAAAATATCGGTGTTAATGTGTTCACTTTTATTTACTGAGTGTCAGGAAGCACAGAGTGCCGTTGGGTAGGGGTGTTGCTGATTGGCTAGAGCGGTCAGCTGGCACTCTAAGCCAATCAGTAGCTCCCCATTCATAAAAAAGTAAAAATATTTTATGAACCGGGAACTAGCGATTGGCTTAGAGCGTCAACTGACCACTCTAGCCAATCAGCGGCACCCATGCCTGACGTCAATCTGCACTTCCTGACACTCTGTTTCAGAAGCCAAATACCACTGAGCGACCTGGAGCTGGAGGAAGCCTTTGGGGTTAAACCATTTGAGAGCGATTTAACCCCTTAAAGGAAAGCGAGCACCCAGGGGCTTCCTGGCATCATAGCATTTTCATTTAGGTGAAGTTGTTATGGTGACCAGAAATGTCCTTTAATTTGCTTAAGGGAACACTATAGTGTCAGGAATACAAACATATATTCCTGACACCATAGTTGTGAAAACGCTATTCACCCTGGCTTTATGTGATAATGGCTATGCCCCTTCCCTTTCACGACACTGTCAAAAAGGTACCAAGCATGGATGTCATTACAATTATGCCCCCCCCTGGAAAAATTCCTGCGGACGCCCATGTTGAGAAGTCTTTGCAAGGCAGGTGCTCTGGGCAGTTGCTGCCTTTTGATTTTAGATCCACTGATCAAACCAAACCAGGAAGTAATAGGACCTGTTCTCTGATTGACAGCCAGAGGGGTGCAACAAGGTTAATTTATAAACATGTCAATTTCTATTGAAAACCTGCCTTAAAAAAAAAAAAAAAAATGAATAAAAATAGACCACACTCTGCACACATAAAGTATTTCAGCAAGCTAAAGGGCTTTAGGTTTTTTTTTTAATGACTCTATCCATTCCTTAGTCATTCTTCTAGTACAATGTATAGATAAAATGTAATGCTCTTTAACCCCTTCCCGACCGCGGACGTATCAGGTACGTCTGGCAAAAAACGGTCCATAATGACCTTGGACGTACCTGGTACGTCCTCAGCTATTTTGAGCGCTGGAAGCTCTGATAGTATTGCTGTGATGTTCTGCATGTACTGAGTGCCTCGAGGGGTCCTGGCACTCTGTGCATATATCATAATATATATATATATAAAAAAAATATAAAATAAATAAAATGATCAATATTAACCCCCCCTCCCCTCTTTTCTAAAGGCAATGAATCATGGGTCTTCTGGGGGGTGTCCCTAGCCTGCCTCATTATAAGGGGCAGGCTGGGGTCATCCAATCACAGCTTGCCCCATTAGCAATTTCATCCCAAGTGTGTTCCCCATTTCTCTGATTAGTGTGGATCTGCCTTCATCTCTTCACTTCACTCTTCACACTTTTTTGCTGTTTGTGCATTTTTTTTAGGGGTTCATTTTTTTGTGATTTTTTTTTTTTTTTGTGAGACCCAAAAGCTCTTTTCAGAACGATTAACACCTGTCCTGCCAGTGATCACTATACAGATCACAGGCTCTTGCACAGAAGCACTTATTTTGCTGTCTGTTTATTTTTTTAGGGGTTCATTTTTTTTGTCTGATTGGTTTTTTTTTTTTGTGACAGGTCACTAAGTAAAGTGATTGTGATCATGTCACATGGGTCACGGAAGTCAACCAGCGCTGAGCAGTCATATGCCACCCTTGCGCTAGAGTCTGACGCATCTATGTCAGACTCCAACACTGATTTTGACCCTGCCAGGTGCTCAGATACATCATCACTAGATACAGTGTCTGCTGCTAGTGATGTATCTAGTGATGTTGTATCTGTACCTGCTAGTCCCCCTGTCAGATGGAGACGTGCTGCTCCAGCTGGCAGAACTGCTGAGGAGTGGGTAGTGCCTCATCGCCAGAGGCCAGACATCCCATCCTTTACTGCAAATCCTGGCATTAATTTGGATGTCGCAGGATTTAGCCCTCAGCAGTTTATGGAGGTGTTTCTGAGCGATGATGTATTGGGGAACATTGTCGCCCAAACTAATTTATATGCCCATCAATTCCGAGCTACAAATCCTGACTCTTTTTTGGCAAAGCAGCAATTGGCCCCCATCGATGTGCCAGAATTTAAAAGATTCTGGGCATTGACTATGCTGATGGGCATCATAAAGAAGCCCTCCATCCGCTCCTACTGGAGCAGTAGCCCCATCTGCTCTATCCCCATTTACTCCCAATGTATGTCGAGGAAGAGTTATGAAATGATTCTGCATTTCTTGCACTTCAGCGACAACAGCCTGTCCCCCCCTAGGGAGCATCCCCAGTTTGACAGGCTGTATAAAATCCACTCCCTGATTACCCACTTCGCTGCCAGGTTTGCAGAGTCTTATACAACTGGAAGGAATATATGCGTGGATGAATCCCTGATGAAGTATAAGGGAAGGCTGGGATTCAAGCAGTATGTTCCTTCCAAGTGCTCGAGGTATGGTGTAAAGATGTATAAGCTCTGTGATAGCGAGACTGGGTATACTCAGGCCTTCCGGGTGTATGAGGGAAAGGATTGCCACCTTGACCCTGCAGGTTGCCCAGAACATATGGGAACAAGTGGCAAGATTGTCTGGGACCTGATATTTTCCCTATAGTGTCCCTTTGTTCAAGCTGCTGTATTGTTTTGATACAGTAGTTTGCGGCACAATAAAAAAGAACAGCACAGGTTTCCCAGGACAACTTGCACGCACCCGGTTATGAAAGGGGGAGACCTCCGCTCTGCGCCAAAAACTTGTTGGCAGTTAAGTACAGAGACAAGAAGGATGTGTACCTTCTTACCACCATCCACACTGAGGGGACTGTGGAGGTCCCTGTACGTGGCAGAGCGGAGAGAACAAGGAAGCCAGTGTGCATCAAGGCCTATAACCGGCATATGGGTGGGGTTGATCTGGCAGATCAGCTGCTGCAGCCCTACCTAATTATATGAAAGACAAGGGCCTGGTACAAAAAGGTTTCAATCTACCTAATGCAGATTGCAACCCACAACGCTTTTTTGTTGTTCAAAAAAGCAAACCCTGGGACAGAACTGAGATTTTTACAGTTTCAGCTCCAGATCATTTTGGGGATTTTGTACCGTGATGCACCTGCTCCCTGGGCAGTGATGGGAGAGAGCAGAGTCGGGGTTACACATTTTATTTTTAAAATTCCCCCTACTGCGGCAAAGCAGAATCCCCAAAAAAGAGGCAGGGTCTGTTCTAAGAGGGGGCAGAGAAAAGATAGTGTATATCACTGTCCTGATTGCCCTGGACAGCCTGGACTCTGCATTGGAGACTGCTTCAAACAATACTACACGCTGGTCCATTTTTAATTTATTTTTTAACATTTTTTTTGGTGTCTTTTTTCTTTTTTTGGGGGGGGTTTGTTACATTACCCTATGCATGGGGGGCATGGGTGTCCTAAGGAGGCCTTGCAGAAAACAACCTGGGGTGTTTTCTTGCAATAACCAACAACGGGTTCTCCTAAATCACAGTCAAAAAGCAATGAGTGTGTAAAAATGAAAATTGAACAGTTACCGCCACACACTTTCTTCAAATTTTTTATTTTTTCTAAAAAAAGTTGCATCAAAGCACTCCACATGCAATACCTCAGGGTGTCTACGTTTCAAGTATGTACCCTTTCATGGCAATATATAAAACTGGGGTATGTGATAAGCCACAAGCTAAAGATAGGCCTATCAGAAGAAATACTTTCAATTTCAACTCAAATTGCAAGTCATGCAATGTAACCGTACCTTCCCAAAATCCTGGTAAACCCATGCATGGGGGGCATGGGTGTCCTAAGGAGGCCTTGCAGAAAACAACCTGGGGTGTTTTCTTGCAATAACCAACAGGCTCTCCTAAATCACAGTCAAAAAGCAATGTGTGTGTAACAATGAAGATTGAACAGTTACCGGGCACACACTTTTTTTTGACTAAAATGATTGCATCTAAGGCATCAAAAGACTCCATATACAATACTGCGAGTTGTCAACATTTCAAATATATGCACGCTCATGGCAAGAAAATACATTGGGATATCTGATAAGGCCCCCAAAAGGAAAATAGGCAAACAAGATATGTAAAATTTTAAAAACGCATATCCGATATTTTGCTTTGCACCCCCCAGAGAACCCAACACACCTATGCATGGGTGGTATTGCTGTACTCGGGAGATGTTGCCGAGCACATATTGGGGTGTCCTTTGGCAGTAACACCTAAGAGGAGCTTAGAATCTATGCCCAAAGGTAGGCAGACAATGTAATAGAGCAGCAGGAAATGCTAACAGAATGCTTGGTTGTATACGGAGAGGTATTAGCAGTAGAAAGAGGGAAGTGCTCATGCCATTGTACAGAACACTGGTGAGACCTCACTTGGAGTATTGTACACAATACTGGAGACCGTGGTGGTAGAATAAGTGCATGTAAAGGGTTGAAATGCCACCATGTGAAATGCCCTAGGGTGTCTACTTTTCAAAAACATATGGTTTGACGGGCGTGAATTACATTGGCCGGCTTCAGAAATGTCCCAACTAGGACATGGGTGCATGATGGCCAGCTGTGTTTTTTCTCCATTTTTCATCATATTTTACTTTTTTTTTCTAGTAAATTATATGATATGATGAAAATAATGGTATCTTCAGAATGACCATTTAATAGCGAGAAAAACGGTATATAATATGTATGGGTACAGTAAATGTGTAAGAGACAAATTACATCTAAACACAACCACTGCAGAAATGTAAAAAGAGCCCTGGTACTTAACGGTAAGAAAATTAAAAAATGGCCTGGTCACTAAAGGGTTACGTTGACACCGAATTGTGTTAGGCATAACAGGTGCACTTTAACGTACACTATATGCTAAATATGGGTGCCAGGTCCCTCTAGTTTTAACCCTGCAAATGAAAACATAGCAGTTTCAAAGAAACTGCTATGTTTCACTGAGGGCTAATCCAGCCCAGTCCAGTGAGACAGCCACTAGAGGCGCTTCCGCGATTCTCACTGTGAAAATCACAGTGAGAAGACGCTGGCCGTCCATAGGAAAGCATTTAATAATGCATTCCTATGGGCGGTTTGAATGTGCACGCGGCTCTTGCCGCACATGTGCATTCGGATCTGATGTGGGCAGAGGCTGGACAGTTCCCCAGCATAGAGGAAGCACGGTGCTGTAGAAAGGTAAGTGGCTGAAGGGGTTTTAACCCCTTCTGCCCAGCGGGAGGGGGGCCCTGAGGGTAGGGGGACCTAATGACCCTGGAGTGCCAGGAAAACAATTTATTTTCCTGGCACTATAGTGGTCCTTTAAGTACATAAGAAAAGTATTCCCTATTTCCTGCCCTCATGTGTGAGCTAATAGCTAATTAGAAGGTAATGGAAGGAGCATAGGGCAGAATGGACATGCTTGGTTAATGGATATTTCTGATTCGCTCATGGTACATACGAACTAGGCAGACTGACAGCCCTTCTGTCCAGCCCCCGCTGAGCTACCAATGCGCAGTGTTTCGAAAGCACTCTTGTATGGGGAAAAATGTTCCGAGTTAGCTTAGAACAGCATTATGTGCGAGACTTATTAACTCAGTCTAACCAATTGGAAGACAGCAACAATAACCACTTAGTGACCCAACCACTAAAAACTGAGTTGTGGAA